GATGGAAAAGTTTACCATGTAACTGATTCATTGCAATGGAAGAAAATTGATTCTTGTATCCAGATTTTACCCTTGAACCGAGGAACCTTAGGCCCAGACTTGCCACCAACGAAATGAACCCTTTTGGTAATTTGAGTACTAACCATACGCCATGGCCTGTTCTTCTCATAATTTACAACCTATCTCCATGGTTGTGCATGAAGAGCAAGTATATGTTGATGATGATTTCGGGTCCAAAATGACCAGTCAATGACATAGATGTTTATTTAATACCATTGATTGAATATTTGAGAATTTTGTGGGAGGAATCTGTTGATGTTGATGATGCATATACATGTGATAACTTTAAGTTACGTCACTAGCATTAGTAAAGTTATTGATCCTGGAAGTTTAGATGACTTGGAACACGAAGTTGCAGTTATCTTGTGCCAATTAGATATGTTTTTCCCTCCATCATTATTTGACATTATAGTTCACTTAGTTGTTCATCTAGTAAGGGAGATTAAAATTTGTGGTCTAGCTTATTTATGGTGGATGTATCTGGTAGAGCATTACATGAAGATTTTTAAAGGGTATACAAATAATAATCATCGTCTGGAAGCTTCGATCATATAAAGGTACATCACAGAAGAAGCTATTGAGTTTTGTATAAACTATTTATCATAAGCTTCTTTTTTAGGAATTTTTGAGTCTTGTCATGATGATTTTTATGATGGTAGAGGTATTCAAGTTTAAATGTTAAGGCATTTTCCTGAGATGTAGTTCTTCAAGCACATTTGCATATATTAAATAACCTTAGTGAAGTTCAACCTTACTTGACCGCTATCAAAAGTATTTTAAAGGAAAATTCCCCCGAATGAATGAAAAATGATTGTTGACAGAGCATGGCAAAACTTTCATAAATTGATTTAATGAAAGTATTTCTAAAGTGAGTAGTGCATCAGATCTTTGCAAATGATTGTCACGTATGACTGAGTTTATAATTACTTGGAGTGCATACAACATTTTTAAATATTCATTCTATACAAAATCAAAGGATGATCGTAGCACCATGCAAAATAGCAGGGTTATGGTTGAGGATAAATCCATGTACTTTTCTAGTTCCAAAGATAACAATCATGTACTAGCATCTAGGACGCACTTTTGGGTCATTGAAGAGATTTTGGAGATTGACTATGTTTCTTTTGAAGTGCCTTTATTTAAGTGCAAGTGAATTAACAGTAACACTGGTGTAGAAACTGATGAGTTAGGATTCACGCGGGTTGATATTCATAAGGCAACTTAAAAAGGACGAACTTTTCATCATGACATCCCATGTAAAATAATTTTTTATGTCACTGGTCCTTCTAACACTAGATGGTCAATTGTTTTTCAAGGTAGACATCTTTCCTATCGTACTGATGAAAATCAAGATTTTAACTATGAGACGCCTTGTTTAACAACACATGTATGTCAAGAATCTGAAGAAAATGATTCAGATGATATGCATGTTATTCGTCATGATCATGAAGAGGGGATATGGGAAAACTAGTAAGTAAATGATTTATATCCCTTTGAAATTTATAATTAATCATTTTACTCCTTTTTAATCATTGTACTATATATTTAAAGTTGTTACTAATTGACCTAATTAGTTTTAAATGTTTTTCAAACTATATGTGCTTAAGGACCAGTGACAAATCCTATTGGACAGACTACACAATTTTCCATTTTAGTTATAGCTTTTGTTTCATAATACTTTGTTTTTGTTTTGAAAATGTTTTTAGAATTGGTTATGTAATACATTTTCCAAAAAGTATGATTCTATAATCCTATAATTGGTTCTAGAAATATGGTTATGTAATACAGGTGAAAACAATAGTAAAATAACACACCCCTCGGTTTTATGAAAAACTGAGGTAAAAACTTTGGCGCGCTATCTAGTTTCGAAAATGCTGATCTCAGGGATCGAACCCACAACCTTTTAATTTCTAACCTTAGCTTTATATTAACCGAAGTGACAAGTGATTGTTTTTCATGTCGCCGTCTATTACATCGCCTGTGTAGCCGAGGTTATATGAAATTCATGACCGTCATTATATGCGTTATTATAGTAGTGAACCGAAACCTGTAACCAATTACAATCACAAAAATTTCAAAAATCTTTTAACAACTACAACTGTAACCAGTTACAACATTATAGTAACAACTCTTTTCATTAATTTGTTTCATTCCTAAATATTGCATTGCCTTACAGAACTACCACTCCAAACATTTATATTTATTTAAAGGGGTTCCTATTGATGTATATAAGGTTTATACATAAGTAAAACGAAAATCAACTCTTTCAAATGTAATTTTTAAATAAATTCAAATGACCTTTCTATAATAATCACCAACAACTTGATGATCACAATAATACAAAATTTAATACTTGAATTTATATCACTTTTGACTTTCATGTAATACAAGATATATGAAAATTTTGGCTCCTCTCTTTCTCTTTGATCATAATACAAACATATAGACTTAAATGTTAAAAAATAATATAAATGAAATTTGTTTAAATAATGTGAAAGTTTACGCACAAAGTTTCATTTGAAAATATAAGGTTATCACATGGTCTTAACATAATTAGAGGTGTTCAAGTCCAAACCAATCCAAATAAAAACCAAAAATTGAAAACCACAAAAAATCAATTTTTTTAGATGTATTTGAATGTCATTTTGTAAAAACCACTCGGTTCTAATTGAATTTCAAATTGATTTTTTAAAATGGACCCAAACCAAACCAAATCGCATGTATATATTTTTTATACTTATTTTTTTTATTAGTATATATGTTGTGTTAGTTTAATATTAGATGATATTTATTTTTTTAAATAGTATTTACTAATTTGATTTAATTTATTTATTTTTATTATTTTCATCTTGTAATATTAACTTTTGATATAATATATTACATATTATGTCAAACTTATTATTTATTAGTATTTTTAGAATATTAATAAAAACTATAATTTATAATTTGGATATTTAAAAAATCGATCTAAATTAAACTGTGTTAAATTGGATCATATCAAATTTTTTTAATAAATCATTCAAAATCAAACCAAACTATGAATAAATTTACTTTTAATGAGATGATATTTTATTTTAAAACTGATTCAAATAGAACTGCGAACATCATAAACATAATCTCCAAATATGCATGAGCATGATTCTAAGGGTCTGTTTGGTTCAAATGAGGGGGAGGGGAGGGGAGGGATTTTAATGAAGGGGAGGGGAGGGGAGGGGAGGTGAAGGAATTTTTTAATCAAATATGTGTTTGGTTCAAAAGAGAGGAGGGGAGGGATTTTAATTAAAAATGTGTTTGGTTCAGAAGGGGAGGGGAGGGGTTTTATTAATAATTTACATTTTTATCCTTATGATCTTATATAAGTCATATGATATTAAAATGTGAAAAATTCGTGCGTATTTTTGTTGGTAATAAAATTTCTAATATTGAGTGATTAAAAAAATATTTATTTGTCACATAAAGTTTAAAAATTGAGTACAATCGATTCGACTTATAACTTTCCAACATAAATTAAACTATATGCCAATAACATCGTTTAAATTGTGATGAATTATATAACAAAACAAATATATAAAATAACTTATTACTAAATATTAATGGTTCAAAATATTTAATAAAATGAATAAACAAAAATAAATAAAATGATATGGTTTACAATTTGATATAAAAGAAAATATGATAGAGTACATAACAAAATTAAAAGAAAAAAATGAATATAACGAAACATAATTTTTTTAATAAAAAAAAGATAATGATTATGATTTATATTAATTATAAAAATTATAAAATAATTTGAAGATGGAGAACAATTATAATAAGTTGATGAAAACAATCGAGAAAAAACCGTAACACAAAAGATAACAAATAGTTTTGAAATAATAAAATTAAACTGAGGAGATTTTAGTAAATATAATAATTTTTAAATATCAAAAATCATATTCCCTCCCCTCCCCTCCAAATCCCCCCAATTCGGAGGGAACCAAAAAGTGTGTTTTGGAGGGATTTTGCTCCCCTCCCCTCCCCTCTCCTCCCCTCCTAAAATTTGAACCAAACATATTTAATTAAAATTTTCCCCTCCCCTCCCCTCCCCTCCCCTCCATCTACCCCGAACCAAACACACCCTAAAGCATCTTCACTAGTCATGACAAAAAAATCCACCACCAGCCAGACCCAACTTCCGAATCTAACGAAAGAAAATTAATTTAATTGAGGTGAAGGCGAAGGTTAAAAAAATTTAACTTTTAATAGTACTTTTTCCACATCCATCTCCACCTATTAAATTTTTTTTTTAATAATTTTATTACTCCATCTTTTTCAAAACAATTATCAAATCTTATAAAATTATTTATTCCAAAAATAAGTGTCATTTTTAGTTTTTAATATAATTATGATGTTTATCTTCCAATTATACCTTTTAATTAATATTTTTAATTAATTATTTTTACACTTTATATCTATGATAATTCGAATACACCAATAATAAATAAAAATAATTTAATAAAAATATTATTTTCTTTTTTAATTATTTTACTTTTTAATTTGTATAAAATAAAATTATTTTAGAATGGGGGGAGGATTAATTTACTTTTCTTAATATAATAAATCATAAATGAAGTGAAAGAAAAGTAGTTGTGTAATCCTAAAAACAAAGACGTAATTTTCAGTATTTATTCGTTCATGACTATAACAATCTACCTTGATTTATCCGAACAAGAACCGAACAAACGGCACCGCATGATTGGTTCAAAATAAACAACACAAACAAAAAGAACTTGTCTTGTCAAAATCAAAACCATAATTATTTATTTATTAATTAATTCACCTCTTATTCATTTCTTCAACCATAGTTTATCATTTTTTCCCTTCATGTTCTAACCCGACTCATTACCGACTCACTGAGTCACCTCACCTCATCGAATCGTCTTTCCAAAATTCAATTCACCATGTCGACGACAAGGTCCCCGAACCGTTCTTCCGAAGACATCGTCGATACGACGCCGTTTCTTCCCAATTCCGCCGCCGCTTCCTCCGACGAAAACAACTCCGGTAATCGAGTTCTTCGTCGACAGAGGCTTCTTCAAGCCGCGCGGTTCCTCCGGCAAGCAAGCGGGAGGAGAATGATGCGCGAGCCCTCGGTTGTTGTCCGTGAAGCTGCGGCGGAGCAATTGGAGGAACGGCAAAGCGATTGGGCTTATTCCAAACCCGTTGTAATTCTCGACATCGTTTGGAACTTTGCATTCGTCGTTGTTGCTGCAACCGCTTTGTTTCTGAGCACTAATGAATCGCCGGAAATGCCTCTTAGGTTGTGGATTGTTGGTTACGTTCTGCAATGTGTTCTTCACATGGTTTGTGTTTGTTTCGAGTATAAAAGACGGAGAAGGTTCCAACGTTCATCTTCTTCCATAGCTGTAGCAGGTTCTGATAGGCTTGGTACTAGCAGTGGGAATTTGAGTTCAGGTTCTCGTTCTGTTTCATTGGCGCAATTTGATGAAGAGGGTACAAGGTAAATTTCTACACCATTTTTTCAATTCAGTGTTATATTGGTGAATAATGATATGTTATCTTGCTCTTTGAATGCTTGTGTCGAAGAATGAAACATATTTTGTGGGGACTGTTTGGTGAAGTTTGAAACTCTATGACGAATAGGAAAACTTTAATGAGTTTGTTGCCATGTTAATTGTATTTATGAATGTTAGTACTAGTACTATATTAAGCCTATGCTTTTAATATTCGAAACGATAATTAAGGGTTGTAGGTGAGGCTTTGATAAATGATGAGTAAGTATGGTAAACCTCTAGTTAATTTAAGGAGTTGATATATCAGATGTAGCTTTCTCATTAGGTAAGGGATGGGAAAAATCATCATGGCAGTTCAAACTGTATTTAAGGTTTTTAATCTTATACTTTTTAAGAGCATTTTTTGTTGAATGTGAAGGAAGAGCTCTAAAGTTTCTCTCATATTGATTTGGGTGGTTGAAAAAGGTGAGAGGGAGAGGGAGTTGGGTTTCATGTAAAAAGAGATGACTGAAATTGCTACGGGGTGATTAATTATTTTTCTGTTTAACAAGTTGTGTTTTTTCGGTTTCTCAAAACACAGGTGCACGATTGTAAGTTCATGTATAAACAAGTATCACTTTTTCAGCCTTGAAAATGGAAGTAGAAAAGGGGGCCTTTTAGTTTTAGTTACCGTGTTATGTGTTTGATTAGACATTTCTAGTTAACAATTTTAAGTGATTAGACATTAGTTTATATTATACTACTAATGCTAAATCTTGGCTTGGACCATGAAAATTAATTTTTCAAGGTAAGAGTTAGAAACTCTTAATATTTCTTTGTTTCTTCTTGTGCCATTTTCACTCTCTACTAGATGTTATTGTTTGAGATAGCAACCAACCGTTGCATGTGTTATTTGACAAAGCGTCCTTTTCTTTTTTTGTTTATCTTGTCTTCTTTCCTAATTCTATCTCTGTTTGAAGATCCCATTTTGCATCAGTCTGCAGCTCAATCTTCTGCCGAATCTAGTAACTGTTCCTTAGAATTTTAATTTTCTTGTAATCTACAAGCCGAAAAATGATAAAGATTTATGAGTGAACTCATTGTTTCCCCCTAACAAAGAATTTATGTTTCTTAATGAATTCTAGTTTTTTTCTAAATCAAATTCTAAATTAGATTATGAACTATATTCCAAGTGTTTTTAAATAGAGGCACTGTAGTGTAGTGGAATTTGAACAAATATTTTTTGTTCTCTAATACACTATCTAGTACAAAATATTGTCAACTAGTAGCTATAGCGGCGCTACTACTCTATTGTGTAGGGGAATTCGAACAAGCTACTATTTGCAACAATCTACTATTGACAAAATGGCTATATTCTCACTCCTGTCGCCTAGATGGATCTTATTGTAAATCAGTGTTATCAAATTGCGGCGCCATGGCGGATATACATTGCGGTTTTTGGGTTTTCCACAATAATAAATATTGGCCGCTAATTTTGGTTTTTCCGCAATAACGGCGCTGCAAAGTGGCCGATGGGATTTTGGCTCTCCGTCATGGACCGCCATCCGCCATCAACAACAATGTTGTAAATACAAGATGGTACCGTGCAACTTGTTTATTCCTCTGTTTTAATAGCCAAAATGTATTTTTTTTTACTTGATAATGAACCTTTTCTCCAAAGCAATCCTTTTTTTTTAAAGCTTGATAATTTGCCATGTCTTAATATATAATATTTTTACCTGGTTTTTTTTCCGAACCATCTATCTTGAATACATGAGGTACTATCTGATTTTGTGCATATAAAACTGTTTGGTGGGGCGAAACGGTATCAACATTTATTAGCTTCTTTTTATTTATCAAGGACCAGAGCAATTATTGTTATATATTTGATATGCGTGCCGTCTATTTTCTAATCAATGTAATTTTTCACAAGTTATCAATTTTATATATTGCCACTTTTCTCGGCAGTGTCGCAAAGCATTTGGAATCAGCCAATACTATGTTTTCATTTATTTGGTGGATTATTGGATTCTACTGGGTATCAGCGGGTGGTCAAACTTTATCCCAAGATTCTCCTCAGCTTTACTGGTTTGTCCTCTTTCACTATCTCATTCAAATTGTTCAAATATCTTTTTCAATACGATTTATTAATCTTTTGACAAGTCAACTGAAATTTACTTATTTTAGTTGAATGCTTTTGACAGAAAATGCTGCTTTGCAGGTTATGTATAATCTTTCTTGGTTTTGATGTTTTCTTTGTCGTTTTCTGTGTTGCGCTGGCCTGTATAATTGGTATCGCTGTTTGCTGCTGTCTTCCATGTATCATCGCACTTCTTTATGCTGTTGCAGACCAGGTGACTTATTCTCTTGTGTCTCAAACTCTAATTGGAATTGCTGCATTATGTGTAATTTTCGTTCAAAAGTTGATAGTTACTAATGATTTTTGAAGCGACTCTGCAAACTTAACCCTTTCAACATGTGCGATAATAATTGTGAAAGATTAATACTAATATCTTTTTATTTGTATAACTTGTGAATGAACTTATTAGACAGGCATTATGTCTGGATTTATATGTTTCGCCGTGTTAATATATGGGCCGTACATAGTTGATTTGTAAATCTACTATTCTATTTTGCCAACACAAGACATGTTCTTAACATAGGATTTTCTCTCTTGGTCCTCCATTTTTCTGCACGTGGGAAAAACCCGAGTATGCTTATTAACATCTTTTTCTCAGATTTTTCAGGATTTGGGTAGAAACATAATTGTTACTATTATTTATTATAAGTTGGAGTTTTATCATTAAGGAAGCATTCTTCAACCAACAAACCCACTGGTACTTTGAGAAGACAAGGAAGGGTCTTTCAGTAAATATTCTGAATTCTGATGCAGAATTAGACATCATGCGATCAAATTGGGATTGTGTTTAGGAATTAGGTGACATAAAAAAGCATTGTCTGGCTCATGTCTGCTGGAATCAGCAATTTGCAGTCATGTTCTATGAAGCACGGACACCTCGAATAGGACCTCGACACTGACACGGCGACATCGATAATAATTTTAAAAAATAAATAAATTAAACGTAATCACAAAAGTCAGTGCAGGTGTCGATACCTACACGGACACAGACACACATTTCTTCAGAAGTGTCGGTGCTACATAGGTCATGTTATTGAGGGAGATCTAGATTGAATTGAAGAACAAGGTGAAACTTTGGGAAGGTTTATTTCTCGAGACCAAATGTGATTAGGAAAGGGAGATGATGACTATTCAATCAAAGTGTAATCGGTAATAAAAGGAAACTTTTGACAATGTTCCAATGGATAATTGTTTATGCAAGATAACTGTAACTCAGCTGTCATGAAGAAAATTGATGTATTTCCCATTTTAGGAAAATGGTAAAGCCTTGTCCTAGGTTGTTTGGATATGCTGGAGATTGAAGAAGACACATGGAAGTGCTGAGGGCTGACTAGATAGAGAATTTTCCTATACTTAAGATACATATTAGGACAAACTAAATTATAGGTCAGTCAAGCTATTAAGAGGGATTTGGAGGTTTATGGTTTATCTCTAAAAAGTTTATCTTTGAACATAACATATGATAGAAAATTATGGTGTTGTCAAACGAAAACAAGCGAAGTTGTTGCTGTTGCATTGTTGGGATTGGGATTGTTATTGACATATTGAGAGAGGAAGTTAGGTGAGAGTTCATATCTTTCAAATATTTCAAATAGTTGGACAAGCGGTATCGTGGGTGTCAAAGTCACAAGTTGACTCATTGGCTCGTCTGAATTTACGTTTCTATGAAGGAATTTGAGTTGGCTCACTTCCAGAATCATTTTTGAGCAACTCGGTTGAACTTGCTCCAAATCCTGTGCTTATGGCCTAGTGAGTATCATGAAAAGCAAAATTAGTCTCAAGAAAGAGGAGGAGGCGGAGATTGAGAAGTGAAGAGGGCAACTGAAGTGACAGTGCCAGGAGAGAAAGGGGAGTTGATGGTGTTTGCCAGGAAAGTAGCGCATGTGCAGTGTTGGAAAGTGAGTTGAAGAGGAAAAAGAACTCAGAAGAGATGAAGGAGAAGGCCACTAATCGGAGGAAAAGAGACTAGATTTTTTTTTAATTAATAATTAATTAATTATTTTATATTTGATTTTAAGATAGTGAAATTGTAGGCGAATACCGACCAAAAAGTACTGCATAGCTGATATTCTTCTTCATGTCAAAAGGATAAATTTCAATTTAAAATTCTCAAAAAATGGAAAACTGGTAAACCTATAATAGAAAAGATTGTTGAAATAAAGTTTAGGTGGTTGGACCATGTAGTGAGAAGACTTAAATTTTTTGTAAAAAGAGAAAATCATATAGTTTCTATAGATCTTTCTCTACTTTTAATAATTTGAAACTACTGGAAGCAAAAGAAGATCTATAAAAATTATATGAGAAACTATTAAGAAAGATTTAGAGATTAATAAGTTGAATAGATATATGATATATGGTAAAACATTATGGCGTTGTTTTATCCATGTAGCCGATGCCACTAGATGTGATAAGACTTGGTTGTTGTAGTTGTTGTATTTTTAGAATTATTAGGTATATGTGTAAACAAGTTGAGTGTACAGACCTCCATGAATTTATGTAGACTCCAGATTTTAACAACCTTGAGTGTAACCGATATTCTGCCCTTCATCTCCAGCACTGTCTCCCAATGATATAGAGCCATATATCGAGGGCTCTGTCAATAGTTGTCGGCTAAGCATATATACTGTAATTTATTTGTTGTCCTTGCTTTCATCTCTCTATCTTTTCCTATTTATTAACTAACTAGTGAATTAATTAATTTTAACCGAGCAGGAAGGGGCATCAAAGGAAGACATTGAGCAGTTGTCAAAATTCAAATTCCGAAAAGTTGAAAGTAATGAGAAACAAACTGGAAATATCGAAGGACCTGGTGGAGGAATAATGACTGAATGCGGGGCTGATTCACCTATTGAACATGTTCTTGCTGAGGAGGATGCGGTATGTTACAAACACTTGCTATCAGTGAGCTTAATCTTTTCTCCCTTTTCCAGTAATCATGTTGCTTTGATTCTCATCATATTTCAATGAAAAATCTATATGTCATCTTTCAAACAGACTTGGTTGCATCCTCTGTCTGAAGTTTTCATTTTTTTGTTGGTATATTATTTATAGGAATGTTGCATCTGTCTTTCTTCTTATGAAGATGGAGTTGAACTACGAGAACTTCCTTGTGGTCACCATTTTCACTGTGCCTGTGTGGATAAATGGCTGTATATAAATGCTACATGCCCCCTCTGCAAGTATAACATTTTGAAAAGTAGTAGCCTCGATCAAGAGGAAGTGTAGATGATCTCAGACAAGTTTCTAGATGCCATTTTGAGAAATCTGCATAATAGGCTCAACATGTCAATACAGTTCGATACAGGCCTATATATAACTGTCCTTGCTGCTGCCTGCTTTGTGCTATAATCATGTAGTGATGGTTTCTTTGTTTATTGCTAGTGATTGTGGCTTCTAACTAACTGCGTTGTTCAATGTGTTCTGGCTATGATTATCTTAAGAGTCACAATTCAGTTGTAAATTTCATATTTTATTTATTATGTATATCGTCAACAGTAATAATCTTGACAATATAAATAATAAATTATATATGAAATTGACAATCGAACTGTGGCTCTCGAAGATTATTACTGTATAATGGTCTATCACAATAAATATGGGAATTCTAACAATAAAAAGATATCAGTTCAAGTAGATAACTATGTGTATTTCACATGGTGTTTGTCCAAAGTTTAGAGAAATTTACAACATTTGTACATTATATCACAGGATTTCCAAGTTGGAGACAAGTTTGGGGAAATTAATGTAATCTTTGATGATTTTAAAGAAACTATGTCAACTATTTTATTTGAGACAACCGGCCTACTTTGATGCTAATGGAGGATTTAAGATATTAAGATATTCAAATAAATTTAATATTAATAAGCTTAATGGATAATCAAAACACTTGTTCATGTAAACATTGCCTAAACAAGCAATCATATGACTAAAATGTAGTTTACAAAATAGACATTGATTTAGTTAAGGAAGATATATTTTTCTTTCGAATGATATTGTGAGCATTTTTGCCTCAATGTTGCATCAGATTTTGAAATAGTGAAAAGAAGGATGTAAGGACTTTTGTTATAAATTTGCAGAAATAGATTAAGTTATGGAAAAGATACCTTACAAAATGGAAAATCTAGAGAGAGGGTAGTTGTCAATGTGTGATCGATTTCAGTAGAGTCAGAAAATTTAAAAAGTTGAGTGGATTGACATTAGTTCCAATTCTTACATGTATATTTTTAAAGACTTGTTTAAAAATGAAATTGCTTGTTATCTTATTATGACGTGATTCTGCATCATATATAAGTACTTTCAATCCATGTTTATTTTTCACCCTTGACACTGCGACATGATCCAAAGATTGTCCCTACGATTCGTTAATGGTAATTGGAAACTGTTTTCTTGAAAGTTTAAATGGCTAAGGAGTCTATGATGTAGTTGTAGAAATTCTTGGAATGTAGATTAAATTTCCCTCATGTTTTCCAAACATTATTTTTGCTTCTAATATACTATTACACAGTCCTTCAACCATTACCAAGTTTCACATAAGCATCATAGGAGCGCCAATTTTCAATTTGATAATGTGATTTGGCAAGCCTGATGTCCTCAATGAGTTAAGAAATTCAAGATTTATCACATCATAAGTAGACAAATCATTTAAATCATATTTATCGACGAAATTATAACTCATAAATCTTTTTATCACCTATATATATATATATATGGAAATTGATATTGAATGAGAAAATGGTTAGATATCGAAAAATAGTGTAAGAAAAACTTGATATGAAAGAAAATTTATAGGAGTATTGAAATACCAAGAATAAGACCCAACATGAGTTCATTAATTTCGTCAAAAGTTTCTATAGTTGACGCTAAAATTACTCTTGATTCAAGGAACTTAATATTCATGTAATTATGGAGTAGACCAGGATACGTACTTTAAATTATACATTATGTGGGTCTGTCTGTCTTGGATATTAGTAATTCAGGCAAAATATCAATTTTTGCATTACCATCATTAGGTTTAGATAGTCGTCCCTCTCCAAGTCGAAGAATTCATATTGAAAATTGTTCAACTTCAACCATAATGATACCAAGTGAACCACGATAAAGTCTCATATTCTCTGTCATTATTAATACTTCACAGTGGTCTAATATGTAAGATGAATTAAGGGATGTATGGACAATACCAGATTGGGAGCCACGTGGGATCATTGGAAGAATTTGTCAAAAAGTCACCTCCAAAAATAATCACATTGCCTCCAAAAATGGAATTAGAGTTACAAGTTTTACTCATAACATCTCTCAGCGTACGATCAAGGGTTTCAAAAGCGTTTTTGTGAGTTATGGGTGCCTCATCCAAAATGATAAGTTTAGTTTATTTTAACAACTCATAATATTTGTTGTTTCCTTATATATCGCATATTGAGTTGTCTAAAGTAGGAATATGAATTTTGAATTTGGAATGCTCATATCTTCTACATTGTAAAAGTAACTAAGTAATTCCACTAGACGCAACATTTAATACTATATCGCCTTTTGATCGCAAAGATGTTGCAAGCATTTTCCACATAAATGTTTTTCTTGTTCCTCCATAACCTTTCAAGAAAAATACACCACCCTTTTAGTTATTAACACAATTTGTTATTTTATGAAAAATAGATCTGTGTTCGTCTAATCAAAATTGAATAAATAAGAGTTAGTTATTATAAGAGGTAATGTTAAATACCAAAGAAGTTTGTGACAGTTATGTTAGTAAGTATTTGTCACCTGTAAAAGATTTGTAGAGATTGTGATATTCTTCTTTTAGTAATTGCTTATTATAGTTCCCTTTGTCATATATGAGTTTGTTACCAATATGTTTGAGGAGATAACCTTTAGGAAATGGAATTGAACTAAAATTATCAAGTGATCTTATATTAACCTGGAAGAAGTTCTCAATTTCATAAAGTGTAAGCTGTGAGATCTCTTTTTCAGTGAGGATGAATTTATAAAATATTTAAGACAATGTTTGAGAAGTAGTATAATGTTATAAGAAAAAGGAGTTATGTAAATTAGAATTAGTTTGCATCGTTCATTATCTTTGTTGTGTGGAATAATTATTTGATAATGAAGAATAACATCAGATAACAAATGTTTACTCTTGGCCGAAACATGGCTAAGTCTATTTACAGAACCTATCAAAAGCATAATGACAAACAATTTTCTCAAAAAGAAACCTCATTACGTAAAATATTCAGTTTTACGATTATTGAAAAACACAAACTTAGACCTATTCCCCCCTCCCCCCCCCCCCCTTTTAGCAGCGCTTTCTTAGACCCCCCCCCCCCCCCCCCCCACCTATAGCAGCGCTTTTTTGAGCCCTCTCTATGCCCCCCTTTAGCAGCGCTTTTTTGTAAAAGTGTTGTCTATTCTTCATGATTTTAAATTTTTTTTTTTATAAATAATCACATTTTTTATATATTTTTCGATAAACCTGCTTATAACAATTACATTCCCTGCTTATAATTCAGGCCTTTATTTCAACACTTTGACCTTATATATACATTGTAATTCAACACTTTAGCCTTAAGTATACATTGTAATTCATCACTTTGCCCATAATCATTTTAATACACATAAACCTGCTTAAATATATTACAACACAATTCGATCCTCAGAACAACATCACAAATACAGTCAATTTACATATAATTACAAATCCGATAATTTTACAAATAGATACGACTTCCAGAAATATTATTATCCCGCATCAATATTGGATGATACATATACCTTATACAATTCTCAACTCAAAAATAAATTGACACCATTCTTCCTTAATTTCTTCCAATCCTGCTTTCGAGTAAGTACCACACTTGAATTCATCAAAGTACTACATAATATAACAGAACATGCACGATTTAGTTTTAAAACTAATTACTCAGATGAAATATCGGTTAATTATCAAAATAAATCATATAACTTATGAATTGATCCATACCATGATTGAAATCTCTATTTGACAAGAATGAATAATTTCCTTCATAAAGCGCAATACAAAATATCCGCAGTCAATCTCATTGCGCTGACGAGGACACTGTAAATGGAAAAAAACAAACGAACATTTATCAGGATATATAGTTTAAATAGTTTTATCAAGTAGAACCACTATAACAGTAAAAAATGAGAAAATATACCTGCACTCTGATCCAGCTAATGTTGTTAGCCTTGCTTTTTGGCATTGTTGCTTCTCTTTGTGCTCTGAATATTTGTATAGCTCTAACATAATATAAACGCATATTTAGAACAATGTCACATAGTAAATAAAGATATATAATTATTCAGAACAGTATATCTCATCACTTACGTATCAACCATATTCTTCATATCAGGATATTTTGTTTGATCATCATCCAATGAATCCAGATAATACACTATTTCTTTCATCGGATTAATCGCGACCAACAACCAGTGTCCACTATAAAATAAGACAACAGTTTAGACGGAAATGTTATATAGAATGGCAAAAATTGAATAATTATAATAAATGAATTTAGAATGAAATCTAACCCATGGCCAATATTATATGGCAACAAGAAGAACTTCTTTGTAGTCGCGGCGTAATCTTTGACTACATCTGGTGTGTGATCTATTGACCGTGAGTTGATACAGCTTGCAGATAAGAATGTGAATATTGAAGTCAAATCATGCGGGACCAACAACTTGTCATACAAGAGCCTAAAAGAAAAACATAATCAACATTAGAATATTCAGTTAAATGAGAAAATTTTAAAATATTCAATTATTTAATTAAAATGGATCGGAGTACCTGATGTAGGAATGCATAACACCGATGCCCAATTCAGAATGTTGGAAAATCTGGTCCAAATCCTCCTTAGCAATTGTTTCGACATATTCAAAACCGAAAATTGCTTCCTCCATAGGTATTTTCCGGATGCCACCCTCAGTCACATCTGTTGTTCCTACATATGTTTCAAGGCACAACCTAAATCGAGGAACAAATGATTTTTTTGGCTCGGGTTTTTTTTGTTGGGCACCTTGCAAGATTTTGGCATTTTACCCTTGCTGACTTGTTGCAACTGTTGATCATGAACCTAAAAGTCATATAAGTTCAGTAATTAATGTATAATAAGATAATCATGTAACTGTAGTAGTACCTGTTTCTTTGATGCAGCTGAATCGGTATCCCGCACAATAATTCCCTTATCTTTTGATTTGGATTTTGTAGGAGTCTA